GGCTGACCCCGACCGGTGATCCTCCTGATCTCCACCTCCCGGTGGCTGAGATTACAGGTGTGAGCCACCGTGCCCATCCCCCTGATTTGATGTTGACATCAACCCCAGGAGTTTGCAGATAAGACGGTGTAGACAGCATCACGAAGCTCTTGCTGGGATGCTTGTCTTTCTGCAGTGTTTTGCTCAGGGGTGGGCACCCTCAGCCATGTCCACTTTGAGAACTAACTTTCTTTGATGCGTGGGGTCCCAAGGGGCCAGAGACTTTTAGCAAATGCAGCCTTCCTTCCCCATGAAGAATCGCTCGGTCAGATCCAGGGTTGCGAATGACCCCCCTCTGGGGCCTCTGACAGTTGGGATCAGTCTTGTGGCTGGCGTGGGGTGGTGGCGCGGGGTGGTGGCAAATTGGGGGTGGGGTCTGCATTCGCATACCTGCCCCAGGCTGTCTCCTGTCGCCATTTTGGGAAGCAGCATTCCTCCTTCCCATCAGACTTGCTTCTCTACTTTCAGCTCCTCTCCCACCCTCCCCCCATGGCCTCCTTGCTGACTTATTCTGGGTTTGCTGACATGGACATTTTCTCTCCAAACCAATGAGGACGCAGGAGGCTCAGCTCAGCTCAGCTCAGCTCAGCTCAGCTCAGGGTCGCTCGCCCTCGCCGCAGCTGCGAGCTGGAACCCGGCTAAATCAGGAGGAGCAGGCACGGCCGGAGCTCATCCTCCTCTCCTCCGGCGCCACCCCTGTGCAGATGACCCAGTGCGACCTTTACCTTCTGCCTGGGGCAGGCCATCTCCTCCTCCACCAAGAACTCAGCTCCCCATCTTTGGTCTGGCACTCATCACTTATTTGCACATTTCAAGGGGCTCCTCGCCACCTTCACACGCCCATCAAAGCCTGAGATGAAACCTGGGGACACGGCAGAAGGCAGATCCGCCCTGCTCACAGGTGTTTGCTAAGCACCCGTTATAGAGTGCATGCTTTTTTTTTTTTTAAGATGTGCAGGACAAAGCAATTAACAAATGAGGCCCCTCAAAGTCCTGCTTCCGTGAAGCTTATAGTCTTGATGAAAGACTGCAAAAGATAGTGGGTCAGATTTTTTTTTTTTAAAAAGGAAAATGTAGATGATATTTAAGTAAAGGCTGAAGAGAAAAAATAAGCACAGAAGTGATTTGAAGGACGTGACCTTTGAGTAAAGATGTCCAGGAAGTGAGGGATAGAATCTTTGTAGGTGTCTTGGGAAGAGCCTTTCAGGAGCGTAGGGAGCACATGCAAAGGTCCTGGGGCAGGAACGTGCCTGGAGCACCTGGGAGACATGGAAGAGCTGTCGTCCCTGGAGGGGAGAGGAGAGGTGATGGGGCCTTGCTGGCTGTGGGGAGGACTTTGGCTTCTTTTCTTTTTTTTTGTTGGGACTGGGGTTTGAACTCTGGACTTCACACTTGCAGGACAGGCACCCTGCCACTTGAGCCACTCCTCCAGTCTCTGGGGTCTCAAGAACTATTTTTGAGCTGGCCTCAAACCATGATCCTCCCAATCTCAGCCTCCCGAGTAGCTAGGATTACAGGCGTGAGCCACTGATGCTCAACTTCTTTTTTTTTTTTTCCTGAGTGGGGTGGGATTCTGAGGAAGGCTTCAGATACTTGCGTATGCATTAACCTGGAATGTTCTTTTCTTGATCTGTCAAGAATGGGGCCTCTTTTCAGCCCCCTTGCCCAAATTAGGGACATAAAAGTGCATTCAGGATGACTGAATTCTGCTGGGCTTGGTGGAGAAAGTGGGACCCCCACCCTTTCTGCATGACTCAAAACCACAAGTCACCTGAACTAAATCTAAACCTGGCTGTGCACGCACAGGTGGACATCTCTGCGGTGCACATCCGCACATCCCGACTTAGCAGGTGGATGCAAGGCTTGGCTCCCACCAGGGGCCACCGGGGCTGCTTTGCAAGGGTCTGAGGTCAATATTGCAGGTTCCTGCCTGGCCTTCTTTGCGGACCATTGCGGGGTCCGAGGGTGAGTGGAGGAGAGGAGATGACACGTGTCTGCGTTTGACAAGAAGAAAAGGAAAGGCCTGGGAAGTTTCTTTCACTTGGGTGCAGCAGTGTCTTTTCTTTACTGGAGACTTCTGGGTGACATCGGAGGGGGGGTAGGGAGTGGATTGAAACCCGGCTAATGTAGTCCATAAATCGCTGCCGGCCTCTGGGGCTCTTCCTGGAATGTTTAGCTCAGAGCTGATGCAATGGGTGGAACATTGCAGCCCTTTGGGGTCAGGAGGCTGGGGACCCAGATGAGAGACATAAGGGACCCGAGTTGCCAGTGAGGGGGAGAAGCAAAGTCAGATTCAAGCCATAGCGAGTGGAGGCCAGGGAAAGGGCTTGGTGTGGCATCTCTGTGTACAAATATTGGCTCTTGTTTTCCAGGCTGCCCGGGAGACGAGAGCAGTATTTGTGCAACACGGCCCGGCTTTGTTCTCTGAGCTCCTGATGACTGTCAGCTCGGAGGCAGGAGGCCAATCAGAGATGATGGTGGCAGGGCTGGCTTTTGTTGTTTCCCCAAATTGCCTGAGAATTGGCTTTGCTTTTTCAGAGAGAGAGTGGAGTGCAGCGTCAGCTGCTTGCAGCGGGAGGAAGAGACTGAAGCCAGAGGAAAAGATGGGGTGGTTTTCCTGCCTTCTTGAAATGTTTGTCCCTGGGTTTTCTGTTTCAGACCTTGTTTTTCCACCGGGAAAATGGGTTTATGTTTCAACTCCCTCATCCAGAGGGATGATCTTCCTTCCTTCCTTCCTTCCTTCCTTCCTTCCTTCCTTCCTTCCTTCCTATGATCCTTCTTATCTGCATTCTGAGTAGCTGGGATTATAGGCATGAGCCACTGTGCCTGGCTTGAAATGGATGAGTGGATGAAGTTTCCAAATGCCAAACGGAACCGGGCACATTGGCAAATGCCTGTAATTCCGACCTTCAGGAGGCAGAGGCAGGAGGACCAAGAGTTCTAAGTCAGCCTGGGCCAAACAAAACTCAGGCTTGAGGCATGACTCAAGTGGTAGAACGCCTGCCTGACAAGTGTGAGGCCCTGAGTTCAAATCGAAGTACTGCCAAAAAATCATAAGAAAACAAAGCAAATATGCCAAGCCTAATTCTAGGGCCAAAGGTAGACTGAGCCAATTAATTTTCCCAAGTCAGGAGGAGCAGGGGGAGCCAATTTCCTCTAAGACATTATTGATCTCTTTGCAGAACACGGATTTCAGTGTCCCCACGGGCCAGTGGGCAGTGTCAGGTTGACGCTTTGGTTGTTCTAAGTGGAGAGGAGGTGGCAGCACCCACAGATGTCACACAGCACCCTACATTACCCAGGGCAGCCCAGCCACAGAGGACCCCCCCAGGTCAGTCCTAGTGAGGTCAGAAACCCTGTGCCATCACTGGGTACCGGTAACTTCCCCCAGGTGGCGTCCACTTCTCCACATGGGAACCTTCTTCCCAGGGACCACCAGCTGCCAATACCAGGGCTGTTGGACTGAAAATGCTTTTGAGTGAAAAGGACAGGGGACAGGACACTGTTCTGTCTGCCTGGTCCCCAAGGGCAGAGCCTCTGCTGGGGCTGGATGGGAACCTTGTGAGCCCAGAAGAGAGCTGAGAGCTATCGGGGAGCAGAAGAATCTGTCCCCACTTAGAGAGAGAGAGAGAGAGAGAGAGAGAGAGAGAGAGAGATGCATGCATGTTCTCTGCCTTTCTTCAGATCGTGAAAAATCACCTTGTTAGATGTTTGCCATGACCACTCTTTCTTTTCTTTCTTCTTCTTTTTTTTTTTTTGTGGTGCTGGGGTTCAAACTCAGGGCTTTGTGCTCACTAGGCAGGCGCTCTACCACTTGAGCCACACCACCAGGCCTTTTCCGTGTTGGGTTTTTTCAAGATAGGGTCTCTTGATCTATTTGCCCAGGCTGGCTTTGAACCGGGATCCTCCTGATCTCAGCCTCCTGAGTAGCTGGGATTACAGGCGTGAGCCACCGGCGCCTGGCACCATCTTGTTATAGGAACTAGTCTATGTGACCTACAAATGTCTCTTCATCTCCATAGGGGATCGATTCCAGGACCCTTCATGGAGACCACAACCCACCTGGCCTCAAGCCCACTCTGGAGGAGAGTGTGGTATTTGTACAGAACCTGTGCATCCTCCTGTAGATTTTAACTCATCTCTAGTGACTTAAAAATACCAGATACATTGTAAATGTTACGTAATCAGTTGTTACCCTGCATTTTGGGGGGACAGTTAGGACAAGAAAGTCTGTACATGTTTGGAACAGATGCCATTTTTTTTTGCCAAACATTTCCATCTCACGCTTGGTTGGAAGTTTGTGGGTGTAACAGCCCTGGTTAGAGAGAGCCGACTGTCTCACCCGCCATGCTTTGGTACTTAGCCTCGTCTGTGAGCAATCATTATTTCATTTACTGGATTTTCTGTGAGGCCACGAACTTCTACCTCTTCTGCCCCCGGCTGTCGCTGGTGTCAGGAACAGTGCCTGACACACAGTCAGTGCTGGATTAAATTGCACGCAGTCAATGGGGAGTGCAAATGTTCACATTTTCCTAAAAAGCAGGAAATAGCCGGGCACCGTGGCTCACTCCTGTAATCCTGGCTACTCAGGAGGCAGAGATCAGGAGGATCGAGGTTCGAAACCAGCCCAGGCAACTAGTTCATGAGACACTGTCTTTAAAATACTCAACACAAAACAGGGCTGGCAGAGTGGCTCAAGAGGTAGAGCGCCTGCCTAGCAAGCGGGAGGCCCTGAGTTCAAACCCCAGTGCTGCCAAAGAAAAAAAGTTCCTTGTCCTGCATTGGGAGCTGTAGGGACCGAATCACTCTGTCTGCCAGTGGGGACCAGAGGGACCTGGAGGGATGAGGGTACAGGGACAAGCCCATGGTGGAGAGCGTTTGGGGCAGCCTGTGGGGACAGGGTCACCTCTAAGCCCCCCGCCCCGTGATGCCCTGGAACGATTTTCCTTAATTCCGGACACTCCGTTTGAATATATGATTTTAGCCACCATTATAGCAAACTGCATCGTCCTCGCCCTGGAGCAGCACCTGCCAGACGACGACAAGACACCGATGTCCGAGCGGCTGGTGAGTGGCCCTCCCGTGCCGTCCCCTCCTAGGTTGCCAGCATGCAGCTTAGGACGGGGAGAGGGGGACAGTTCTCATCCCAGAACCACGAAGGCCACCTGCCTCTCACAGCCACCACCAAGGATCTGGGGACCCAGATGCCCCCCTTCCCATCCCGCACTCACAGACCCGGGATGGGACAGTGGCACCTAGTGACATGATCCACGAAGACCTGACATTCAAAACTGAATGGGGACCTCGTATTTAGAGTCCCACGTTCAGGATGGAAGTCACATTGTCTTGGTTCGTACTGAGAAACAGAACATTTTGGTGGAAAATTTGGACCATCCCCAAAAAACCGAGGCCCCCAGGGCTGTGCCACCTTGCAAATCCTTTTTCTTCTTTAAAATTTTTATTTATTTGTTTATTTTTATTTCCTTGGCTCGTCTTTCTTGGCAGAAGTATTCTAAGTCACATCCACAAAGCAGGTCGATTGACCCCAGGTCCTTTACGTGTGTGTCACTGGAAACGTGGTCGTTATCGTCCCTGCTGTGACATTGTCAGACCCAGCACAGTTATCACTGGAGAATTTCCACGAACATCCAAACGTGGTCTGGAGTTGCGAGCTTGTATTTTATTGCGGTGTTGGGTGTGGAACCGGCATCTCCAGGTCCCTTTTGCGTCTAGTTATTTTTCACATAGGGTCTTGCATTTTTCATGGGTTGGACGTGCCCCATAGTTCTCCTCCCTACATCTCCTGCATAGCTGGGATGACAGGTGTGCACCACCATGCTTGGCTTGTTTGTTGAGATGGGGTCTTGCTAATTTTTTGCCTGGGCTCCTCTCAATCTCTACCTCCCAAATAGCTGGGGTACAGGTGTGAGCTACTGGACTCAGCCACACACATTCTAGCTTTTGTGTGGTTTCTTCCTTCTGGTATCAGTTATCTTAATCCTCCATCTCCTGTATTTCTTATGCATGGACGTCACTTCTGGAGGACATTTAAAATCCAGTTGCTCAATTGGTGAAACCTTCCAGGAGTATAAAACAGCACTAAGACCCTTCCCAGGAACTGGCAGTCTGGCTCCTCTCCTGGTTTTTTCATCAGGGCAATGAGGGAGACTCTCTCGTCTCTTACTGCCTCCCCTGAGCCAGCAGTAATACCTCAGAGGGGGAAGTAGAGGATTTCAGAAGCCACTCTTTTCTAACCCACAAAACATGGGTATGTTAGCCTTCTGTCACTGTGACAAAACACCGGAGATAGATCAACTTATAAAGAAGTAAGGTTCGTTTGGCTCAGTCTGTGCACTCCTGGAATCATTTTGGGCCTCTGACAAGGCAGAACATCCTGGCAGGGAACACGTGGTGGACCAAAGCCATTCACGTCATGGTGGCCAGGAAGCCAAAGGCGGAAGCAGAGGAGGTTGGGGTCCCCTGTCTCCTTTAAGGCCACACCCCCAGTGACCTCACTTCTTCCTGCTAGGCCCCGCCTCTTAAAGGTTCCATCACCTCCCAGTCGCACCACAGGCTGAGGAGCCAGATTTTAGCACATGACCTTTGGGGGACATTTTTAAATCCAATCCCCGTAGTAGCTGTCTCCTGACTTTTCATTTTCATAGCTAAGTATAAAAAATACAAACGGCCTAGTGAATCTGTGCTTGCAAGACTTTTTTTTTCTTAACATGAAGCTTAATAAAAAGTATCTGTGGAAAGAGTGGTAAGCAGATAACAGTACCAGTGGCAGGAAGATATTGGGAAAAAGTCGAAGCCAGGTGTGGTAGTGCTCACCTGTAATCCCAGCTCTCAGGAAGCTGAGGTAGGAAGATCATGAGTTCCAGGTCAGTCTGGGCTACATGACGAGACCCCGTCTCCAGAAAATAAAAATCAATGAAGGCAGAAGTGCAAATGATGGAAGTATGAGGGAGTGCCGACAACAGATGGGTAGAGACAGACATGACACATTAGCTCCAAGCAGCAGCGACTCAGCAGGAGCCTGACCCAGCGGGAGGTGACCTCGGCAGGAGCCATTAATCAGCCAGAGCACAAATATGACCGTGCACGTTGACAACCTGAGCAGCTGTGCCGGGACACCCCAGCTGGGAGCCATCCGTGGGGGTCAGACTTGAGGGTGAGGGTGGCAGCCAGGGTGCGACCTCAAGCCTTTGGACTGCTCACCGCCACCCAGCCATTTCCAATGGAGCATTCCTCAGTGATGGACATGTCCCCTTGGCTACTAGGATGTCGCTGGCGTGACTGCAGAACTGCATTTTAAAATTTTATCCCATTTCAATTAATTTAGATGCACACAGCTGCGTGGGCTGCCATCTTGGATGGCACAGGGCCAAAGTGACAACTGCAGTTGGCTGAGTGGTAGGTGAGGTTGGCCAAAAGCAATGAAGGAAGGCATCTTCTGGAAGCTTCTGCATCCCTTTTGAAAGCTTTTGGATAGAAAACTGCAGCTGGGTGGGCTGGAGGGCTGGAGGGCAGGGGAGGAGACGGGGTGGTGGGCTGCTTGCTGCTCAGTCATGACCTCCCTCTGCCAGCCCAAGATGCTGACTTTGTTCTCTGTCCCTTCCAGGATGACACAGAACCGTACTTCATTGGAATTTTTTGCTTCGAGGCTGGAATTAAGATCATAGCCCTTGGGTTTGCTTTTCACAAAGGGTCCTATTTGAGGAACGGCTGGAACGTGATGGATTTTGTAGTGGTGCTAACAGGGTAAGCGGGCGGTGCGCCCTTCTCTGTGTTTGTCTTGCTAAAGGAGGAGCAGGCTTTGGAAATGGCGGTGGTTGGTGTGGTCCAGGTGGGCTCAGGAAGGCTGCCTTCCTCCTGCCATCACCTCTGTATCTCTGCTGAGTCACAGAGTGGATACTTCTGTTATAATTCAAGTAATTGCTTGTAACCGTTGGCTGCTTTCAAAGTCGTTTTTGTGCATGCTTTCCATGTAATTCTTACTACGACTCTGTGGGTTAGAAAATACCATGTCCCCATCTGATCCCTGAGGAAGCGGAACCACAGAGTCATTTGCCTCTGAGTGCCTAGCTAGTAAGCGACAGAGCTGGGATTTGAACCTGAAATTCTCTGATTCCAGAATGGAAGTTCTTTTTCTGGTCTTGGAGATGTTTTGCCTTTATTTCAAGGCGGTGAGTGTTTGTGGGGGATTTCTGGGGTTATGACATGGGGAAATCCAGTGCGAGCAAGGCGTTTTCAGATCTGCACACAGTGGGCCAGAGTTGGGAATTGAGTGTGTACGCCCTTCCTCTCAAGAGCCCTGTCGAAAGGATGCCAGGAGCTCTCACAAAAGATCCCAAGCGAGGAAACGAGGAAACGCGACTGAAGTGTGTTGCTCCTGCACTGAAAGTTCACAAATGTCACTTCTAGCCGGCAGGCTTGTGTCTCCCGTGACTGACAGGTCTGTACCTTCTCCGTATTGTGGGTCCTCGTCACCGCACACAGCTCCCGTTAAACCGTGGCAGAGAAACAAGGCGATGCTTGGGAAATTCTAAGTGGGTGGAGAGACCTGACTGGTATTGCCTCCATTCTTACTCCACTGGGTCTGCTTGACGGTGTGGCTCGGCAGTAGCGCCCTCATCCACGCTCGCTAGGGAGGCTCTCTACCACTCGAGCCCCCAATCCTTTAGTTACAATAGTTATTTTCCATATAGGGTCTTGTGCTTTTTGCCCAGGGCTGGCCTCGGACCACAGTTCTACTACCTAAGCTTCTCTAATAGTGGGGATTACAGGTGTGTGCCAAAATGCCCAACTTGTTGAGATGGGGTTCTCACTGATTTTTTTGCCCAAGCTGGCCTCCAACCATGATCCTCCTGATCTCCAATACCCAAGTAGCTGGATTTACAAGAGTGAGCCACAATGCCTGACTTGAAGACATTTTTTTTGTTGTTTCAGAAGAACATTGCTCCTAAGAGGAGGGGCTGTGACTGCTTGGATTGTGTCTGTACAGGTTTTCAGATGTGGTGGTTTGTCATGAAGATCCTGGGCCAGCTTTTGGGGTTTGGAAATTCATTGAAGGACTTCAGTTGGCTCTGAAGGACCCCAAAATCCTTTGATTTGGGATCTTGGCAGGTTCCTGGGGCATGTTATGACATTGTGCGCTTTTCTCTTATGCTGCTAGGAAACTCACCTATGAAACAGCCTAGTGAGCTCTCTTTACTGCTATTAAATATATATATATATATATATACACATAGGCAATAAAATTGGTGTGGCTCAAGTGGTAGAGCCCAGTACCACTCCCCCAAAATTAAATTTTTATAAACATATAATAAAATAATCAGACATTCACAGAGAAGTGGAGAACGTCTACTGCATGCAAGAACATTTGTTAAACGTCTGCTACATGCCAAGCCCCGTTCTAGGCTCAGAGTCACAGCAGGAAACAAAGCAGACGAAATCCCGGTGTCCCCACCCTGGTGGAGAGGGGACATTCCTCCCTCTGCCCCGTCGTCCAGGAGCTCTCTGTTGGCTGTGCCTGTCGTTTGCGTTTGTCCACTGACCACCTGAGCACCACGGCCCCCACAGACCACAGATGCTCAGCCCCTACTTTAACCTGGTGCAGCATAAAACGTAAGCAACCCTCCCATCTAAACCATCTCGAGACAGCACAGAATCCGAATTCAGTGGAAGCGCTGTGTAGATACGTGCTGTGTATCCATCAGGGAATAAAGACAGAGACAAACTCTCTGTGTTCACACTGCTGGCGTCAAGCAGGTTCTTTTCAATCGGCTGTTGCTTGAATCCGTGCATGAGGAACCCCTGGGTGTGAAGGGCTGCCTACATGTTACCAATATGGCTACCGTTTTGCAACCTTAATGTTTCTTTATAAATGTGTTCTTCTGCACCCCGCATAAGTCGTCTGACTCACAAGACTAGTTCTCTGTCTGTTTTCACTGCTGTATAGTAGTCCATGGTATGATTCTCCTACCATGTGTCTGTCTGTTTGGATGGTTTCTACTTTGGGCTGTTTTGAACCAAGCTGTTGCCTCTTTCTTGCGAGGGTTTTTTCTGTAAAGCACATGCCAGGAGAGGAACTGTTGAGCTGGGTGCTATATGCATCCTTTGCCTCGGTAGCTCCTGCCAAATTGCTCTGCAACGTGGTTGTGCCAATTTCTTCTCCCTGGGGGCTGACTTTCACTGGCAGAGTCTGGCTTGACCTTGCTGGCAGGCACTAGCCTTAAGAAAAACCCTGATTTTAGCCAAGCATGGTGGCACACACTTGTAATCCCAGCATTCAGGAGGCTGAGGCAGGAGGATCATGGGTTTGAGGCCAGCCTGGGATACCTGGTGAGACCCTATCTCAAAAGAAAAAAAAATACCCTGACTTTTTAAAAAATGGCATAATTCTTGAGAGATCTGAGGAAGTTCCTAGACTGCTTAGCACACAGTAAGTTTCAGTGACTGGTGACTAATTGATTTGAAGGGCAGTCGTCTGACAGGTCAGTTTGTATGACTCCCTGTTTGCAGGAGGGTGGTTGCATGAGTTGCTTTTTTGTTGCTGTGACAAATCCCTGAGAGGAGCAGTGTAAAGAAGGAAAGAGTTATTTTGGCTCACAGTTTCAGAGGTTACAATCCATGGTAGACTGGCTCCATTGTTTCTGGGCTGTGGTGAGCAGAGCGTCATGGTGGATGGACCTGGCAGGGCAGAACTACCGGTCATGGCGGCCAGGAAACAGAGAGAGCCGCAGGAAGGAGCGGAAACAGGCAACTTTCCAGGACAAGACCTCAGGGACCTTCCTCCATCCAGGCCCGCCACCGACTCCCCACCCCTACCAATGAGGCCATTGAATTAAAAATCCATCAGTGACTCGATCCATCGATGGGGTCACAGCTGTCACAGTGCAAGCGCTTGTCAATGGTTGGGTCCACCAGCCAGGGACCCCAATCCTTCAACAGCCTGCCTCAGGGGACACATCACACCCAAATCTAGCTTTTTGGCACTTAATGCAACCTGAGAGAAGAAATATTTCATAGGGGATGGAGTCCAAGAATGCGACACCATAGTTGAGGTTCAGGTGGAATTTGTGTGCAGACATGGTGTGTGGTGTGTGTTTGGGGTGTAGTTTTCAGGAGGTCCTGACCCTAAGAGCACAGGGGCTATTTTCCTAAATTCTTTCCCTTTTAAATTCCTTCTCTTTTTCCTTCTTCATGCCTCTATCCTCCCTCTCCTGTTTGTCTTGCTATTTCTGTTATGCTAAGCCATCCTTCCTCATTACCTGCTCGTTAGGTCCCCTTAAGTCAGTCACAGTCCAAATTCCATCACTGCCAATTCCACAGGGCTGTGTAGTTCCTGTGGGGTCGGAGCCGGGGATAGAAAGTGAGCCCTAAAAGATTGCCCCAGACCTGGCCTTCTGCTCAGTGTCATTGTTGGGGAACTCAGTGAACCCTGGATTCCGTGTTCTGGAGGGGGACAAACCTGACCCTGAGATAAGCGGTGACTTTAATGAGGATTTTCTCCTTAAGCTGTCATCTGCTCATGTTCCTAAGCAAACCACATTAAAACACCCTTCATTTTCTGTGGATTATGGCCTCCTTCTGTGTGAGGTTTGGCGAGAAGGATCATACCTGGGGATTTTTTTTGTTGGTTGCTTTTTGTAGCTCACTGCCTCAGAGATGCTGTCACTTTGGTTTTATCCCTCTCCCTCAGAGCGTGCTTCTGCTGTACCCGAAGCCACCATGGGTAAGTCAGACGGGTGTCAGAAGATGTAGGAAGCCAGACTCTATTTCTGAGACGAGAAAGCATGTGACTGTGATGCTCGAGCAGGTAGATGGACAGACAGACAGATGAGATGGACGGATAGATACATGACAAGACAGAGGTAGGTCGTAGGCAGATACAGAGTTTTATGTATGTCCATTTGGTTTTCTAAGACACCGAAGAATACAGTCGTGCATGCTAGGAAGAGACTGTAGGGATGAAGACAGTTGCCTTAGTCCCGGCACGCACAGGTGACCGTGCAGCTGGAAGGTGGTTACACTTGTGACCCTCAGAAAGTTCTGAAAGTTTCCCTAAGCTGTTCAAGGGGACAGGCCAGCCATGGACAGAGACAGGAAGTCCCGGAGTCCACAGCAGGTGCCTCCAATAGCAGATGGCATGGGACAGGGGAGCCCTGGGTCTTTGCCACCTCTGATGATTTGTCACTCTGAACAGAGGGCTCCTTTCTGGAAGGTTCTATGCACGGCTTTGGGCAGCTAGGTGACGATCCAAGCTATGGAACCAGCTGGGAGGGACAGTGGCTTTGGTGTCACAGCACCGTTGAACTTGGGGGCTGAAAGAAAGGACTCTGGCAGGTCTGACCCCTTTATTCCACTCACAAGGGAGGCAGAACACGGAGAGGCTAAGAGATTTTCCTAAGGTCACACTCCAGTGGTTAATCAGGGAATCTTCCACAATTGGAAGACATCTTGGTGTCATGGAGCTGACCCTCAGTTTGAGAGGTCTTGAGAGTGACATAAATGCTTAATGTCACCCTCTGCGTCCACCTGAGCCGGATTCTCTTCCTTCCTTCTGCTTCTCTCTCCCCCTTCCCGGAGAAATGGCAATGGCTCCTCAGAGGACAATCTCACCCCCCTCTTTTCATCGTATTCATGAGGAACAAGAGCCCAAAGTGATCGGAGGTCTTGACCACAATGACACACCACTCGTGCTCTGTGTCGGCTTTGATTGAACAAATGCACACAGTCCTAGGGGCCTCTCTTCCTTC